TCTGTTCTGTCAGATCCACAGACACCTGAAGAAAAGCTCAGCATCAGATCACACTCATAACCTGTAGAGAGTAAAGGCAACAACACTTTAATCTCGATTCCATAAGATCTTTACATGTCCCATCAGAATCGAGACAGATGAAGATGGTACACATTCTGTACAATAAATAAATAATAAAGAATAAATATGGTGTGTGTTGTGAGAACGAAGGCAGCAGAAGCAGAGGATGCTGGGAGAGTCCAGATCTGTCGCTCAGATCTCCAGCGGATCACAGCGAGCACACAGAGCACAAACTCCAGACAGGAAGTCAGTAGAAGCACTTCGTCCTGCTTTCACTCCAGTGTCTGTACAGAACAAGCCCCACCAGCAGCAGCAGAAACACCCCCAGCATTGAGACGAGCACGCTCAAACACACACACACACACACACACACACACTCTCTCTCTCTCACACACACACACACACACACTCTCTTACTTGTGGATTATTGTGATGTTTTTATCAGCTGTTTGGACTCTCATTCTGACGGCACCCATTCACTGCAGAGGATGTAAATGTGTTTGTTTTCAGTCAGGCGTGAGTGAAATCATGATGTCGATTACACAGAAAATGCTGTCGATGGAGCTTTTGGAAACACTGTTCTGCTTCTGTTGACCCTGAATATTCTTTTGTATATTTCCGCTGGTGTCTCGTTCCGCCTGTTTCACTCTTTCATGTCGAGTGGATATTCAGTGCTGCCGTTATTGATCTGTGTGTATCTCTGAGGGCTTTTTAACATCCGCTGTAGTGAAAGACTCTTCCTCTACTGTAAGATTTCATCTTCATCATCTGACCTCTCACACACACACATACACTCTCTCTCTCACACACACACACACAGACTCACACGCGCACTCACACACATACAAACTCTCTCTTGCACACACACAGACTCACACTCTCCCTCTTTCTCTCTCTCACACACACACAGACTCTCTCTCTCACACACACACACAGACTCAGACGCACACACACTCTCATACACACACACACACACACTCTCTCTTTCTCTCTCTCTCACACACACACACAGACTCAGACGCACACACACTCTCATACACACACACACACACACTCTCTCTTTCTCTCTCTCTCACACACACACACAGACTCAGACGCACACACACTCTCATACACACACACACACACACTCTCTCTTTCTCTCTCTCTCACACACACACACAGACTCAGACGCACACACACTCTCATACACACACACACACACACTCTCTCTTTCTCTCTCTCTCACACACACACACAGACTCAGACGCACACACACTCTCATACACACACACACACACACTCTCTCTTTCTCTCTCTCTCACACACACACACAGACTCAGACGCACACACACTCTCATACACACACACACACACACTCTCTCTTTCTCTCTCTCTCACACACACACACAGACTCAGACGCACACACACTCTCATACACACACACACACACACTCTCTCTTTCTCTCTCTCTCACACACACACACAGACTCAGACGCACACACACTCTCATACACACACACACACACACTCTCTCTTTCTCTCTCTCTCACACACACACACAGACTCAGACGCACACACACTCTCATACACACACACACACACACTCTCTCTTTCTCTCTCTCTCACACACACACACAGACTCAGACGCACACACACTCTCATACACACACACACACACACTCTCTCTTTCTCTCTCTCTCACACACACACACAGACTCAGACGCACACACACTCTCATACACACACACACACACACTCTCTCTTTCTCTCTCTCTCACACACACACACAGACTCAGACGCACACACACTCTCATACACACACACACACACACTCTCTCTTTCTCTCTCTCTCACACACACACACAGACTCAGACGCACACACACTCTCATACACACACACACACACACTCTCTCTTTCTCTCTCTCTCACACACACACACAGACTCAGACGCACACACACTCTCATACACACACACACACACACTCTCTCTTTCTCTCTCTCTCACACACACACACAGACTCAGACGCACACACACTCTCATACACACACACACACACACTCTCTCTTTCTCTCTCTCTCACACACACACACAGACTCAGACGCACACACACTCTCATACACACACACACACACACTCTCTCTTTCTCTCTCTCTCACACACACACACAGACTCAGACGCACACACACTCTCATACACACACACACACACACTCTCTCTTTCTCTCTCTCTCACACACACACACAGACTCAGACGCACACACACTCTCATACACACACACACACACACTCTCTCTTTCTCTCTCTCTCACACACACACACAGACTCAGACGCACACACACTCTCATACACACACACACACACACTCTCTCTTTCTCTCTCTCTCACACACACACACAGACTCAGACGCACACACACTCTCATACACACACACACACACACTCTCTCTTTCTCTCTCTCTCACACACACACACAGACTCAGACGCACACACACTCTCATACACACACACACACACACTCTCTCTTTCTCTCTCTCTCACACACACACACAGACTCAGACGCACACACACTCTCATACACACACACACACACACTCTCTCTTTCTCTCTCTCTCACACACACACACAGACTCAGACGCACACACACTCTCATACACACACACACACACACTCTCTCTTTCTCTCTCTCTCACACACACACACAGACTCAGACGCACACACACTCTCATACACACACACACACACACTCTCTCTTTCTCTCTCTCTCACACACACACACAGACTCAGACGCACACACACTCTCATACACACACACACACACACTCTCTCTTTCTCTCTCTCTCACACACACACACAGACTCAGACGCACACACACTCTCATACACACACACACACACACTCTCTCTTTCTCTCTCTCTCACACACACACACAGACTCAGACGCACACACACTCTCATACACACACACACACACACTCTCTCTTTCTCTCTCTCTCACACACACACACAGACTCAGACGCACACACACTCTCATACACACACACACACACACTCTCTCTTTCTCTCTCTCTCACACACACACACAGACTCAGACGCACACACACTCTCATACACACACACACACACACTCTCTCTTTCTCTCTCTCTCACACACACACACAGACTCAGACGCACACACACTCTCATACACACACACACACACACTCTCTCTTTCTCTCTCTCTCACACACACACACAGACTCAGACGCACACACACTCTCATACACACACACACACACACTCTCTCTTTCTCTCTCTCTCACACACACACACAGACTCAGACGCACACACACTCTCATACACACACACACACACACTCTCTCTTTCTCTCTCTCTCACACACACACACAGACTCAGACGCACACACACTCTCATACACACACACACACACACTCTCTCTTTCTCTCTCTCTCACACACACACACAGACTCAGACGCACACACACTCTCATACACACACACACACACACTCTCTCTTTCTCTCTCTCTCACACACACACACAGACTCAGACGCACACACACTCTCATACACACACACACACACACTCTCTCTTTCTCTCTCTCTCACACACACACACAGACTCACACGCACACACACTCTCTCTCTCTCACACACACACACTCTCTCTCTCTCTCTCTTTCACACACACACGCACACTGCTTACGCACATCTAATGCAGCAGCTCAAGACATGACATTAAACACGCAAACTGCTTTCATTCCTGTGTCAGACTGATGATAAGTTTATATATGCATAATTATGATGATAAGAGCTGAGTGAGATGAATGATGAACTGATCGTGCATTTGTCTCTTACAGTGAATACTCTCTCTTTAAAAACTCTTCCATTTCATGACCGTCATCACATAAACTAACACTGCAAGCTGCAAATAAAATCAACGATGATTCAGAGATCATGATTTAATTCAAAGCTTTTCAAACGCGTCCACTGAATTCACGCTCGCGGCCATCTGTCGGTCAATGCTGCCACCCGATTGGCTGCCGCTGTTACACGGCGCGCCTTTACTGGCTCTCTCACATGTCAATCAAACATCAGCCCTCCCACACATCAGCAACCGGACCGAAGATGTATGATCATTAAAGATTTGCGATTTGCTAAAACAGCAGCGAAACATTTCAAATGAGTAGTTACTCTCTACATTTAATAACCTTTATAGACCGCGGATTTTTAAAAAAATTAATTTTATATAATAATTTTTTTGATGTGCACCCTATACATTAGAAAATTTGCGAGAATGAGCAAACCTAATCTACAATATAGCAATTAATTACTAATGTGTTTGTATTATTATTATTATTATTATTATTATTATTATTATTATAGTAGTGTCACCTTACTTCCGGAGTATTTTACGTAAGAACCGATTTAGGGACTATCTTAAAACAACGCTGATAAAAGTCACGAGGAAACGGACACCAGCACCATTCGGTCGTACTATATTATCAGTTACCTTTAGACAGTGAAGGAAAACGGTTGTTTTATCAAACTCACAATTTATTACAATTTATTATCAAGTGACTTAGGGTTGTTTTACTGATGAATCTGATATCAGTAGAATGTGGACTGTACAATTCAATTCATTTGTATAGCGCTTTTCACAATACAAATCATTGCAAAGCAACTTTACAGCAAATTAAGTTTCTACAGTATTTAGTACACTTTCACTTACATTGTACACTTTCACGCATCATTTTGGTTTTAAGCCCCCGTGTGGTTAACAGAAATAGTAAATGAACTTTTTAACTCCAGTCACCACTGAGTTTTGAACTGAAGCACAATTATCAGATTGAGTGTGATTTGTAGACGCTCCCTCGGCGACAGTATGGCGCGTCTGACTGCATGTGAACATCAGAACGCAGCACACAATCTGATCTGATCTGAGATCTGCAGCAGAGATCAAACACACACGGGTCAGGATGGAGCACACGCCCGAGACACACAGCAAAGAAGTGGACATTTATCGGGACACATGGGTGAGATTTTACAGCAAATTAAGTTTCTACAGTATTTAGTACACTTTCACTTACATTGTACACTTTCACGCATCATTTTGGTTTTAAGCCCCCGTGTGGTTAACAGAAATAGTAAATGAACTTTTTAACTCCAGTCACCACTGAGTTTTGAACTGAAGCACAATTATCAGATTGAGTGTGATTTGTAGACGCTCCCTCGGCGACAGTATGGCGCGTCTGACTGCATGTGAACATCAGAACGCAGCACACAATCTGATCTGATCTGAGATCTGCAGCAGAGATCAAACACACACGGGTCAGGATGGAGCACACGCCCGAGACACACAGCAAAGAAGTGGACATTTATCGGGACACATGGGTGAGATTTCTAGGTGAGTCAAAGACACTCGAGTGACCTCCAGGAGTGTGTGTGTGTGTGTGCGCGTGTGAGAGAGAGAGAGAGAGTGAGTGAGTGTGTGTGCGCGTGTGAGAGAGAGAGAGTGTGTGTGCGCGTGTGAGAGAGAGCGAGTGAGTGAGTGTGTGTGTGTGTGTGAGAGATCTGGTCTCTCTGATTTGAGCTCTTCAGTGATTATTTCAGATTCAGCAGTTGTGGGTCATGAATGTCACACTGATCTGCTGCTGATTGTCGCTATACTGTCATTATTACAGCTTATTCATGCTCATAATACAGGATTTAAAGAGTTGATGTCCTCTGGGCTTCACACACACACACACACACACACACACACACCAGTTTTCATGTTGTATGGGTTCATTCCTTAGGTGTAATGTGTTTTTTGTACCGTGCAAACTCTATTTTCTATATGATACATCACCAGCACTCCTGAACTAACTCCAGTATAACTAATCCAAGTCCTTCCAAAATCTGGATTTGTAAAATCTGCTAATCTAATAGTAGTTTTCATTGTACTAAGTAAAACTACCCAAAACCAACCAGCAGAGGACATGAGTGAGCAAACAGTTCATAACCAGATATGCTCAACAAACGCTTCCAGATGTTTCAGAAGCAGTATTTTGTATAATTTTATTTTAAATATGTTGCAGGACATTAATATTTGACAGTGGCGTCCGTTCTGAAGGCAAGTATAGTGTGATTGACAGGTTTATGTGCTGGATGAAGCTAAAGCTGCAGTCGGGTTTGGACTTCAGTCTCACTAAAGCATTTATATCACATCTTAAAAGACAAATTATTGCTCTAGTCTGACTAAAGTATTTTACAGTTCATCTTTACGATCGCTGGGACACATTTCTCGATATTTAGCTCACTTTTTCTAAACTCTTCACCAGTGACGGCGCTACACCGGGGCTAGGGGGGGCTATAGCCCCGTCAGAATTTTGAATAGCCCCGCTTTACTCTGACGTCATCAATATCATTTATTTTCTTAGCACCCCCACATATTGGTCTAGCCCCCCCTTAGCACCGGTAGAGAAAAAATTCTGGCGCCGTGCCTGCTCTTCACACAGTTTTCTTAACCAAGCTTCCAGTTTGGCACAGCTGTTCATTCACTTCATACAGTCTCAAACCAATCATTCTTCATCACACTAGCAAGCACACTCATCACTTATAACACCGAGAGATGAAAACACTAACCATACGAAGTGTTACACAATGATTTCTTCTGTTAAATTTCTTGACAAAACCAGAACGTCAGCTCTGTGTGCTTGATGTGAGGTTTGATGAAGTTTCACAGATGTAAGCGTGTGGCATGTTCGTCTGCAGGTTACACTAACGAGGTGGGCGAGGCATTCCGCGCGCTGGTGCCGGTCAGCGCCGTGTGGGCCAGTTACGCCGTGGCCACCGCATACGTGTCAGCTGACGCGCTGGACAAAGGCAGGAAAGCAGCGGCGGTGAGTCTGGATCAGTCTGAGTCAGTCTGGATCTGTCTGGGTCAGTCTGGATCTGTCTGAGTCAGTCTGGATCAGTCTGGATCAGTCTGGGTCAGTCTGGATCTGTCTGGATCAGTCTGGGTCAGTCTGGATTGGTTTGAGTCTGTCTGGATCAGTCTGAGTCTGTCTGGATCTGTCTGGGTCTGTCTGGATCAGTCTGAGTCTGTCTGGATCAGTCTGAGTCTGTCTGGATCAGTCTGAGTCTGTCTGGATCAGTCTGAGTCTGTCTGGATCTGTCTGGGTCAGTCTGGATTAGTCTGGGTCAGTCTGGATCGGTCTGAGTCTGTCTGGATCTGTCTGGGTCTGTCTGGATCAGTCTGGATCTGTCTGAGTCAGTCTGGATTGGTCTGAGTCTGTCTGGGTCTGTCTGGATCAGTCTGGGTCAGTCTGGATCTGTCTGGATCAGTCTGGATCAGTCTGGGTCAGTCTGAGTCAGTCTGGATCAGTCTGGATTGGTCTGAGTCAGTCTGGATCTGTCTGAGTCTGTCTGGATCTGTCTGGGTCAGTCTGGATCTGTCTGGATCAGTCTGGATTGGTCTGAGTCTGTCTGGATCTGTCTGAGTCAGTCTGGATCTGTCTGGGTCAGTCTGGGTCAGTCTGGATCTGTCTGGGTCAGCATGAGTCAGTCTGGATCTGTCTGGATTGGTCTGAGTCTGTCTGGGTCAATCTGGGTCAGTCTGGATCTGTCTGGATCAGTCTGGATCAGTCTGGGTCAGTCTGAGTCAGTCTGGATCAGTCTGTCTGCTCTCACTGACCGCTCGGCTGGTTGTGTCTGCAGGCTCACACTGAGGATCATGGGAAGGCGGCGCGAGTGGCCGTCGCTGTGGTCGATACGTTCGTCTGGCAGGCTTTGGCTTCGGTGGCCATTCCTGGATTCACCATCAACCGCGTCTGCGCCGCGTCGCTCTTCCTGCTGGGAAAAACCACACGCTGGCCACTTCCTGTGCGCAAGTGGACCACGACCGCCATCGGCCTCTCCACCATCCCCTTCATCATCACACCCATCGACAGGTGAGTGTGTGTGTGAGTGTGTGTGTGTGTGTTCATCATCACACCCATCGACAGGTGAGTGTGTGTGTGAGTGTGTGTGTGTGTGTGTGTGTTCATCATCACACCCATCGACAGGTGAGTGTGTGTGTGTGTGTGTGTGTAATAGTGTGTGTGTGTTCATCATCACACCCATCGAAAGGTGAGTGTGTGTGTGTGAGTGTGTGCAGGGTGTCCGCGGGTCCTTAAAAAGTCTTAAATAATGTTTTCCTAATAAAAGGCCTTAAAAAGTCTTAAAATGTCTTAAATTCAGATTCGATGGGTCTTAAATATTTTTGGTCACATTATCGCTAAAAATATCTTCAATCTGACAGACCTAATGACTTTACAATCACTGGACAGACGAAGAGTTTTTCTCTCCCCCGCAGTAAGTTACTGCATCATCAGAGAGAATCGCAGTAGCAGAATACAGGTCGAACTACCTTCTTAATCTTCTCAATAAAAACATACAGTATGTGACAAAAAATAACCAGCGAAGTATCGAAGAATGATTCTTCTCATTTTATCAGTCTACATTCAATGTAAACAGCAATTTATAATGGATAGTTTATTTCTGGTATCAAGGTCGCGCTGTTAAGACTCACGTTTGTCTCTTTGTGAGAGACTTCAGAACAAACGAGCGTAACAGCACACATAAACTCAGAAGAAACACACTGAGGTAAAAATTCAAAATGTTTAGTTTATTCATAACATGATATATCTTCAATCTGACAGACCTAATGACTTTACAATCACTGGACAGACGAAGAGTTTTTCTCTCCCCCGCAGTAAGTTACTGCATCATCAGAGAGAATCGCAGTAGCAGAATACAGGTCGAACTACCTTCTTAATCTTCTCAATAATAATAATAATAATAATATAGGTCGAGCTACAGCTGATCAGGCTTCTAGCTAATTTAAAATGTTTTTTTACTTGCCCGACCGGACAAATAGCCTGATTAAAACATAAGTGACAAAAAAAATAACCAACGAAACATCGAAAAGCGAGAATGATTCTTCTCCTTTTATTAGCCTACATTCAATGTAAACGGCGATTGATAATGGATAGTGTATTTCTGGTATCAAGGTCGCGCTGTTGAGGCTCACTCTGTCTCTTTGTGAGAGACTTCAGAACAAATGAGCGTAGCAGCACACATAAACTCAGAAGAAACACACTGAGGTAAAAATTCAAAATGAAGAGTCAATTTTTTTCTCCAAAAATGACCATGATTACAAATGTGATATTGTTTTTTAATAAAAAACAAGTAAATTAAGAGACTTACGTTTTAGACACCATATTGCCTGTTTTTGCAGTATTTCGACAACAAAAATAATTCCAAACACAGCCACAGCGCTGTTTTGCGTCTCTGATTAACATGACGGTGTTTCATCCTGAATGAATCGACTGTTTAAATGATTCGCTTCAATCGCAATGACTCACTTAACAGTGACTTGCTGCCACCTACTGGCGGTGTTAATTTCACATTTTAAGTACCTTTTTATTATTTAAATAATTTCAAATATCAGTATTCAACGTTTTGTTTAATAT